TCCTTTGAGTTCTAACATCCTCTAAGACAGTAGCCTCATGTTTTTTTGTTGATATCTCACTATGCCAGTAAGATCTGTACCACACAAGATTTTCAGCTCTTTTTTCCTTTTCAAGGGCCCTGTCAGTAGTTAACTTTTATTTCTTTCTCATTTTCATGATGACTTCAGTTGTTTCTTCAGCACTCTGGGTACTGGATGTATTATTAGCATATGAAAACAAGGAGTGTACTGTTGGTAATTGTTTTGTTTATAAAATCTTTCCCAGTTTCCATTGTCTATTTCTCCACTAAGAAATTAATACAAGCTTCAGTTACCTAGGGGTGTTAACATATGTTGTTAGTATACTTCGAGTCTCTATTTGCATTGTTACACCCTGGAATATGTGTCTTTAATCATCGCAGTTGGAAATTACCTTACTTAGCATTTTTAGTTTCTGTTTGCTCAGAGAGATTTTGTGAGTCAAAGCCAACAGCCTGCGTACAGTATAGCCAGCCAAACCTGAATTTTGTGCCTGAGAATGGAATTTGTCACAGCTCCAAGCAGTTTTTAATTGAGCTTTTTGTTTAAGTAAATGTGAAGGAAATACCAGTATTTCAGTATTCCTTCTCTCTAATAACTTATTAAAAGCGCCTTTCAATTTATGTTTTTGCCTAATATTTCCCTTCCTTTCTCCCATGTTCAGTCTTCAAACACAGGGCAGATGTCTGGTATGGAAGCATCAGGAGTCCAGCATCCTTCAGGGAGACACTCTGGAGCTTTTAAGAGGTGGAGGTTTTTGCATATTACAGAAAGGATCAGGGTGACTTGAAAATATTTCTTTTGGTTTGGAGGGGATCATTTGAACTCCTCTCTCTCTCCTCTGCTGCTATTTTGCTTCTCCATCACAAAGGGAATTTTGGCTAAGTGCTGTGAATTTCTGTTAAAGCAAGGTATCATGTACCTTGCTTTCCTAGATGGATGTTTGTGTTCATACTATCTGCAAGAAAAGTTACTGTTGACATTGATTATTTGAATATTGATAATCAGCTTTCAAATTTCCAGACAAATCTATGAGGAAAACTCACAGGTTGGTGCTTTTTCAAGCTCTAGCCATATTTTAGTGGTATTATTTTTAACCACCAGAGACAGAAACTCTTGCTTTAAAGTAGAAAATGTAGAGTTAGCTGTACGAATCTAGTAGGTGATATCAATACTAGGAATAAATAGGAGGACCCTTACTGTAGTGGAATGCAAAGTAAGACAGTTATTGTCCATGAAGACTCAGTGATAAAATAATTTTTGAAAAATATGCCCCAAATACTAAACCTCAGAGAGAATGCCAATAGCATCTGCCACTGGAACTGAAGGGTAAGACTGCTCTGTAGGAGGAATGTGTAATAAAGAGATGCTGTAGTATGGAACTTGCAGGATGTTGCAGCCTCATCAGCCAGCTCTAAGTACTGGGTGTAGGAGGCCAAGCCAGCCTTTGGTGTGATTCAAATGATGTACTTAAGAAGGCCTGGGGTTTAGGAGTGCTGCTGCTGAGCTGGGAGCTGAGCTGATGCCAGTGCCCGCGGTTAGGGCACTAGAGCTGCTTTTCCCTTGCATGGGTGGAATGAAATTTACGGCAGCAAATGGCTGCTCAGCAGTGGATAATTTCATGTTGTATCTTATCTACTGTTTTTGAGAGCCATAGGTAGATCAAAAAAGTCATGGCTTTATTTTTTCTTAGACCTAGAATGTAGATGCCTAAAATAATGCAGTTTCTGGAACTGGAGTTCCTTGTTTAGCTGCATTTGCAAATCTACTGAGGAAGCACAGACCTGTCTTACCTACTGTTTATGTTGCATCATGTTGTACTTTCTGTGCTTGATTTTTAATTAATATAATTAACTTTGGACCAAGAAAAATTACTTTTGCTTTGCTTTATTTGATGGAGGAAGAATGCTGCTCATTGTGGAATGCTGGATTAGGCTACTGGATGTCATAGTACCTAGTGTTTGTCTGTCTCTTTGTAGGATAACATTAAAAAGCATAATAGAAGCTTTATTTATAAGCATGAAGTGTGGTGTTATGAAGACTCTGTAGCAGAATTACAATCCAAACTTGAAATTTAGGGAGACAGCTGCAGCCCCTTCCACTGTAAAGTGGAGTTTGAATTATCTTGTTGCAACAGAAGTAAATGAAGCTCATGTTATATTAGAAACTTAGTAGCTAAGTGCTCCTAAGTGGCATCAATTTATTTAAAGGACTAAAAATATATTGAATTTATTTAAGCTACTGAAATGTGAGTAAATATCCAATGTTCCATACATAAAATAAAGGTCAGAAGTGATTTTGTCATGATTTCATTGTGCAAGACAGAACTGAGCTGTAAATTTACTTATTAAGTCTTACTTATTCAACACTGAGTGGGGTAGCTGTGTTGGATGGTAATATGTGTAAATATGTGGGCTTAATTTAATAGTTCTAGGGAAAGGCAACAGGAAGGCAACACAATAGTCTGGATAAGCAATAGCACTGCAAACATGCCACAGACAATAGTCAATCTGTCAGCTGTGAAGAGCTGACTTCCAGGCTCCAACTGAAGTTGCACAGATATCTCTCTAAGGGTGGGAGCTCAGTGATCAAAAAGACACCAAACAGGATGGATAACAATCAAACAAGGGATTTAAAAAAAAATATGACATTTAAACTGATAAAAATTACTTTTATTTAGGGAAAATTGTATTTGAGTGTATTTAAATTCCACATTTATAGTTATCAATAATTAAGTCTGTTCTGAATATACTGTGTTTGCCACTAAAATCGTAGCAAAGGAGGTGCTGAATTGAAACTAGCACTAATGAACTGGCAACCTAGCTTTTGACAATAAGTAGACTTTTTAAATTATAGTGTAGTATAACTGTTTTGATTGTTCCACACAGTTTCTCACCTTAGAATGAAAGATAAAAAAGCAAAAAATTTTCATGTTTAAATAATAGCCTAGGGAGCTGAGGGGATGAGGTGCCTTAATTCTAGAAGCATTAAGCATTTACTTTTTTTTTTTAAGTACCTAAATAAAATAAGATTGTGTAACTTCTGTCCACATGCAATCTGAGATTAGTACGAAAGTGAAATTCTATTTTAGAAAACATGCCGTATCACATTCATCATTTTCTGGAAAATAGTCCGGATTATTTAGTATAGTAATCTTAGGCAACTAAGCTCACTAAAGCAGAAACACAGATTTTATAAGTACTCAGGGAAATGGGGGTGGGGGGAAAGAAAGGAATATAAACATAAATAAAATGTTTTTGGACATCTGGGTGCCTACAAATGTCATAGGAGGGGGGAGCTGTAATCTCTATAAGGGAAAATAAGGGTTGAATTGAAGTATCTGATTACATGTATATTTATCGTATCTCCTTATTAACAAAGCAAGAAGCAAAAGCTTATGTATGAGGTTATAATATATTCTGTTGAAGTACAATTCAGCCTGTTCTCATATGCAGAGCAGAATTGTCTCGCCTCTTTTCTGAATGCTGCACTTCCAATGGCCAACACCATTTTTGATGAGTGCTGGTGTAATTGATGGTGGAACACATACACAGCAACAAAGAAAAAGGGGAACTTTTGCAGAATCAAAAATTATTTGAAAACAGCTGTAGTTGTTAAATAAAAGATTTTTGATACTAGTTGGAGGATAAGTGACACTGTGGTCTATTATTTCATCTTTGATATCTAGGAGGAGGAACTATCCCTGCGAACATGCATGAGAATTAGCATAGTGAGTGTCAGACAGAGATTAATTTGCCCTGAAAGTTGGAAGACACGATGGTTAATCCTGGAAGTCTGTCTAGACTGATGGCTGATAACAGTAGTGAGAGAATTGAAAAATTCTCTGCACCTTGAGACCCAGGAACCTCCTGGTGGTTTAGGTGAGAGTGAAGTATTTTCTTGTCTGGCTATGTAAGAATAGTATTTTTCTGTATGGATTAGATATAAATAGATGTGGGTAGATAGAAATAAGAAGGATGACAGTATAGAAACTGCCAAGTTTCTGTTCAAATTTGCATTTTGAATAGGAACTTTTAATATTTTTATCTTCCATTTCATTATCCTCTCTTCCCCATTTCATGTTATTTGCCTGTCTTGAGTTGAAGTGATGCAGATACTGATTTAAAGGTCTCTTGTCCTCCAGCACATTTCCTTAGTACAGAGGATCACTGAGCAGGGTAAGAGGACAATTGATTTTGATTGGGCAAGAGCATAGTGATAAGTTTGATTTGCCCCAATTGCATTTAGAGCGTCTTGTTTGTTGATGATACAAACGAAGGGGTTATCAGTTTTGTGTCATGTTACATTGGCTGGTTTCTTCTGGCAGAAATCCAGCAGTTCTTGTTCAGTGTCTGGTTCTGAACACGACACTGAGAGTGGTCAAGCTGCCCTTTACCGATAGGCAGACTGGTATTGTGCTTCTGGGGTAAGAGAGGAAAGCTGGGGCCTTCAAGTTCTTAAAAACTGTAGCTGCTTGGATTCTTAAGGGATGGAAAGAATCAGAGAGGCACATCCTACTCTGGCCACGGCCGCCTCTCAAAAAGAGCTGTGGAAAGACTGGGAAAGGATTTGAAGTGTGTTGCTAAAATCCACCAGGTGAGGGGTTTGCTCGCCCAAATTATTTACATAATCGGCACCCTGGGATATTTCTTTCCGGGGAGGAGGGTTCGAGGGCAGGGCGCGGCCGCAGGGTCTGTCGGCGGTGCCGAGAGGCGGCGGAGAGGCGCGGCGTGCCCTGCGGGGGAAGGCGGCTGGTACCGAGCGCGGCCTGCCCGCAGCCGCTGCGGCCCCTTTAAGGCGCGACCTGCCGGGGATCAGGTGCGCGGCCGGAGCGATGACGTCATGGGGCGGGCCCGCGGCTCCCGCTCGCGCTGCCCGCGCCGCGGGACGGGCGGCGGCGGCTGCGCACGTGCGCGGGGCGGCGGAGAGCGCGCGGGGCCGCGCGGGCCGGGGCGCCCCGGGCGGGAGCGGCGGGAGCAGCGGGGCTGCTACAGCAGGTGTCGGCTTGGGCTGTGCGCGGCTGCCTGCCTGCCTGCCGGGTAAGCACCTGAAAGGTTTCCTCCTTCAGCGGGCGGGATGGGAAAATGTGCTGCGCGCAGGGGGTTTAATTATTTGCAGACTTAATTATTTTTTTTGTAATACAGCCATCCATCATGTTGTGTGCTTCATTTGTATTTACTTGTTTAAGCTGTTGCTTAGATAGTAAGTGAACACTAGATACTGCCTTAGTTGATTGTGTTTTCCATGATGGTGAATTGTGCTGGGTACCGACTGTCCTTGATAGAAAGTGCTGCGCGAAATTTGACTCTTTGTACTTGGGTAAATTAAGGCAATTCCAAACGCTCGGGTTTGGACTAGAGGAGGGATGTCACATGTCATAGAGGTGCTCTTCCTCCCTTGCCTGTGGAAGATTATATCCCACCTGTAGGGAAAAGAAGCTAGACCTTTTGCCAGTTAGGTGGGGATATGTACCGTCCATGTGGAATTTTACACCACCTAAATATTTGTATGCACAGGAGTTTTGTTTGCTGGTTCTGGAGAAGAAAGGCAAAGGATTGCTTGTAGCTTTGTTTGGGGCTTTTGGTTTTGGTTGTTTTTTGTTTGTTTGTTTGTTTTTGGTTTTCTTTTTTTGTTGGTTGGGATTTTTTTTTCTTTATAAGGTGAGGTGAGGCAATGAAACCTTTCTTTGAACATTCATTTAATCTTCATGATAAATATACTTTTATATTTGTATTTCTAATTTTTGGCTAATCTGTTCACTTTTCACCAGATAAGTTAAAATTGGCAGAAAAAAGAAAAAAATTCCCTGCTCATTAGAATCATCATGTGAAGATAAAGTTGGCAGGAGGACCTCTAATTTTCTTGGTAGCAGAAGAATGTGACCAAGTAAAACATGACTTTAGCAGGTTTGGTTCTTAAGACTAGAGAAAAGTCTCTTGGGCATTCTTATGCTAAAAATGAAGGCTGAGACTTCCACTTTAAGTTCTGATTTGGAAATGCCCATCTCTACCACATCTAATTTTTTGCATTAGATTCTAAAGTAGATTTAGTCTCTTCTAATCTTGAAGAGCATCGGTCTGGAATAAGTCTTTGTTTGAATAAACAATAATACTTGAATGCATGTATGTATATGTTAAGAGATGTGCTATTTTTGGTTTGGAATGCACACCTCTGAATCCATCATTCTGCAGGTTTCTTTTTTCTATTGTCTTGATAGCATTTCAGTCTAATCAGTATTCAATGGGTGATGTTTTTGCTCTCTAAATTTAGCTGCTAATGTTTATATACTACTTAGTATTCTGTATTGGTCTTTGTAGAGGGCATCCTACATAGATAGATGAGACCCGATGGCCTTTGTCATGGAAAATGCATCATCCCAAATGACATATTAACATGGGCTTTTTAAAGGGATGAATATTTTACTCTTAGCATGCTTTAAGACCTGTGGAGTCTTTAGGTCTCTTAATGTGTACTTGCTCTTTATGTGTGCCTTTGACCTCTGGGAGAGGAAACTGAGTGAATGGCACATTATGCTAGTGTTTACTACTCTTTTTTCTTTTTTTTTCCTCTCCTATATTTATGCAGAGAGTATGGGTGTTGTGTCAGAAGCAGGTTTGTAGTTCAGTGGGATGTTCCAGCGATGGGACACCAGGCTAAGGTGAAAGAGTAGGTAATCCAGGGCATAGCAGGATTAGTCCACAGGGTGAAATCTGGTAAATTACTTTTCTATCTGAAAATCTCTTTAACTTTTAAGTATATTTTTTCATTACAGCACCTATTACTGTGACAGATGTGACTTTCCATAGATTTTTGGCAAGTGGCTTACTGTTTCCTCTGGATGTCATCACTTATTCCTCACCCTTGTTCATATTTAGCATCTTAAGCCAGTTTAATTTCACTGGCTGTGGAATAAACAATAGCCATCATAAGATGTGATTGTGTATACTGTTGAAAAAGTCATTGAAATGTAAGCATATGCAACAGCTTTTGTAGGTGCATGAAATTTTAAGAAATAATGGCTGTTCTAATGGAAATATTAGAAAATATTTCAAGGTGAAAAGAAAGCTGATTCAAGAATTGTTACTTCTGCTCTTCTTTCTAATGGCATATTTTCATAGAGGACTTAGTTTTATGAATTGCAAATAAAAGTTTGTTTAAGATACTAATTCCCCCATAGTGATTGGGAGGATTCCTGGAATCACATTGACATTGACTTTTGTTTTCAGCTCTTCAGTATTGTGGCATGGATTTAAATGCTCTTGGGAGTTCCATGCTATATATATGCATCCTGACTGCTTATCAGTCTGCCAAGGTTCAGTCATAGGACAAAAATAGAACAGAAAATAATGCAGAATGTGAAATTGTGGAAGAGAATATTTTATGAGACTCGTTACCTTCTCTATTACTAAGGCTTTGTGATCTTGCTTTTTCTGTTAAATTAAATGATATGAAAATAAAGTAATACCACCAAGCTTACTTTCATTTGGGTTTCACAATGATGCAAGATATTTTCCAGAGTGAATCTTACACCTTCAACCTGTCATCTCCTTTTTATGTCAGATAAGAGGCTGAAAAACATTGGTTTTATTTGATGGAGGCAGGTGAAACAAGCTTGCACAATTTCCTTTCTCAGGACTTCTTGCAAGCCTTTTGTTAAGTACCACAGCATTGCTAAGATTCAAGGTTTACAGGTTGTGTGCTGTAATTTAGGGTCACAGAATTATTTAAGTTCTTGACTAGTGTAGGAAAAATGGATACAGATTTATCACTCCAGTTATGCTGGTTCTGTACCATATGTGTGCTTTATGTAGGAAAAGTTGTTTCTTCATTCCTGACTTAGTCAAGCTGTAAGTTAATTCCTCAATAATCTGTAATCATATTTAAACTACAGAAAATTCCTTTTTTAACAGGAAAATATTTTCATACCATGCCTCTTAGGACATAAACTCTGTGTGTATGTGTGTCTTTCCCAGCTGCAGAGGTGACAGGAGACTTGTCTTTGCCTTTGAACACAGCATGGCATCACAGTCACTCAAAGAATGTGCTCATGCTTTGACCAAGAAATTTAATTTAGTGCTTTACTTGATTAACAGGCATCTATAACCTGGTGTCTTACTTGCAGTCAAGAAGACCTGTTGCCTTCTCTTTTTGATAGGGTATTTATAAAACATTCTTTTGGCTTGGGTCCACTTACTGAGGTGGAAGTTACAAAAAGCAGGATGGGTTAAATGCAGTGCACTCTGTTTGGCAGTCACTGCAATAGAATTGCTTTTCTTGTTTTTGTGGTGGTTTTGGGAGGGTGGTAGAAACAAGAAGTGCAGTTATTTGTGGTATTTGTGGTGTTACCTCTGTGGTAAAGAGTGGTATTTAGATTCTTGTTTGTCTTTGGTAACTTTTAAACCCTGGCTTCTGTAGTCTTTGAGACTTCCCAGTGCTACAGGTAAAACTAGTTTGAGTCACTCTTGAGAGTTCCTAGATGTAGAAAGTCAAATTGCTAGCAGGATATGTTCATAGTAATGTGCTGAGGGTATTAGCACTTTGTTTTTCTCCCAGTATTTTTTTTTTTTGTTTGTTTGAATCATCTACCAAAAGAAAGACTGGTTTCGATGAGGAGTGCTCTGCCTTGTAGCACATAAGCATAGGAAATAAAATAGCTTTTATCAATTAAGGGGAAAATATTGAGTATATATACCAACTTTTTACTCTTAAAATTATAAAGGAACCAGATTTGTCAAGTATAAGATTTGTAATGGAATTATGACAATAGTACTCCTGATAGCGATGACTGGACTTCACCTGCAAAGGAATTGTTTCCACTTCATTGCTCCCAAGCTTGTTTTTAAAGCTAGTTTAGATTTTATTTGAACAGATGTAGTCTAATTTAACTGGTACTAGCACCCCAAGTCACTCCACACAAAAAATGCTTGTGGAGTCTATGTAGGGAACATTGAGGAACAGATCTGACTTCAAACCACCCTGGCCTGTCTTTCCACCTGGCTGCTGTTTACCCTGACCAGGTTGATGTATTGCCATGTTGAAGGGTTGCACAAGGATGAGAATGAGCAGTTGGGAGGCTGAAGGGAAGTGGGGGTGTAAAAGCTCTGTCCTCACATTAGTCAATGTCTGAGTAGTCTTGAAAAATATTTCTGATTGTCTTTTGGTAGTTACCAAAACAGCACTATGCTTGGTTTGATTATTATTTCATATGAGAAAAGGCAAAAAAAAAGATTTTTACTCATCCTGTAATTTACAAGCTATTTGAATTGCTCTGAGTTGCCTGACTTTAAAAAAAAAAAAAAGTAACTCAGATGGTAAGAGAAAACAGAATGGATTTTTTTTTTAATATGAGTCCATTTGATTCTAAGGATATGTTGGTGAAATAAAAGCAAAATTTTGCTGTGCCTCCCGACCTCCCAGACCTTTTTTAAACAGTTGTCTTGCCATGTGGAAAAGGTCAGCTGAGTACAGCATATGTATTTGCCCAATATGTTTGAACACATTGCCCTAAAGTTTGTTACACTGTTGTTATTTTTTTTTCTTTGTTTTTTTCTATCCTCTTGAAAATTGCACTGCTGATGTGGGAACATGAGCTTTTCTTTCTTAACCCACCTTCTTCACCCTCCTCAGACCCCAAAAAAGAAATTGTTGATGGTCACTGCTTTCTATCCACAGAATTAACTTTTTTGACCTCAGAGATTTTCAGTGAAGAGGGCAAACGTCTGTTTTCACACTTTCTTAAAGGTCCAAGGGATGCATTATCCAAGTTCACAACTAATGTCCCAGAAGAATGTACTTAACTTAAAAAGAAAAAGGCTAGAAAAGATTATCCAGGGGGATTAATTTGCATCAGTTGTTTTGAACTGATCTGTCCTGGAGTGTGGCTTCACTGTGGCTGCTTAAGGACAGGGCAGGTGGCTGGGTCTTGACTGGGTGTTCCTGCTCTCTCCCTGTTCAGCTCTTGGTTGAAGTGGCTCCTGCAAGTGGCTCGCAGCTCAGTGCAGTTCTTGGAAGCAATGAGAGCGTGAGGCTAGGGAAAGTA